AAATCTTTGCTTGACAAGGTCATTCTAGTAAACCACCCAAAAAAAAAACTAATAGAAACTAGTAGCAGGCTAATGTTGTTTTGCTGCTTTCTCTTTCAAAACACTCTGGAAATAATACCTTCCCGTCTCACTTTAAGAGTCCATGCTTCCTCGGTTGGTTGGTCAAAGAGGAACTTCCAGATTTTGGAAATCTTAGACACCAGAAAACCCATTAGCCTCTGAAACATCCTCTGCACAACTCAACTTCTCCTCTATCTTCTTCACCGTTTCTTCGATACTAGACGTATACTCTAGGCCATCATCTTCCCAGCTTCCTTGTCCTTGGAGAATCCAGTACAAAAATTCTCCCAACAAGTTGTCAAAATCAAATCCCAATGGGCTGATTTGCCACCAATCTGATATACTCCATTCTTCGGTTTGATATGTGTCAAGTAGACATAATGAATAACACGAAGCAGCTTTTCCACCACGGGACTACAAGGTGTCAGGTCCATCTTTGCATCTCTCCATAACTTAAAGCAGAACCGTAACATGCAACGAATGTCATCACAAAGTAAGAACATCGAATCAGCCACGTATAGCGAGAGCTTAACTCCTAGACGAGCAACCTCCTCTCTCATCTCCTCCTTTGCAAAATCTTTCCTGCCAAACAAGAGGTCAAAGATGAACAAGAACCTCAAAGGCGCCAAGTAATATTACTAACCCTAAAATGTAAAGAGAAAGTACTGGTAGTGTTGGTATCTCGCTTTGCCAATATTCGCCGCTCAAAATAGGCTGAAACAGGTCGCTAATAATCCTACTCCTTGCCTCCACTTCTTCGTCGAAGAGAGACTTCCACAGGTCAGAAATGTATTTAGACGACTCTATAGTCTCCCTGGAGAAGCCATTCCCGTCAGAGACATGTTTTTCTGCGGTCCTCCTCAATTTATCATCTAGCTTCTTCAGCACTTGCTTGTATTTTGCAATAGCAGATGTTAACAGCCGATCATCAAAAGTGCAATCTTTTCCTCCGAGAGTCAAAACAAGGCGACGCAAAATTACGATTCCATCACTAAAATCAGGCCAAATGATCCTGACCAATACCACATTTGACAACACCATCCTGAGAAGGCACTTTGTTGTCGTTCTTGGGTTTGATATGGTTTGAGTAGACATAGTGAACAACACGAAGCAGCCTTTCTGAGACGGGATCAGAAGGTGGTACAGTATATTTCCATAGCTTAAAGCAGAACCACATCATAGTAGGAACATCATCACACAACAAGAACATGGATCTGGCTACATACACCGAGAGCTCAACTCCAAGTCCTACAACTTCCTCTTTCATATCCTCCTTCGACCCAGAGACAGTCCTATTAAACAAGACAAGAAGTGTCAGTGTTTCTGAAGTTTGTGACCTAAGCAAACTCAGGGTTATATAATCAAATGCGAATTATCAAAATTTTCACAACTTAGAAGCATCAAATACTATTCGAAACGCATTATCAATCGCGGAAAGAACCCTAGTCCATATCGAGAATAATCCCTTATATATTAATTGAAGGGCAATTTTTGAAAAGAGCTCATGTTTCATCACCAAATTCATTCTCACAATTTTAATGTGACATGGCATTGTAAAAAATATGACATGGCATTCATACCAAACTTTTCAAAAAATCTCTTAAAAAAATCGTAAAGACCAAACCAAACCTCTTCAATTGATTAGTTTTTTTTAATTAAAATCTCGATAAATATTTTTWT